ATAACAGGACTTTCCCTCCTCCTACTACTACTAATGATGATGATGATTAGGACGTGAATAAGAAGGGGTAATAACAAATAACAAGAGATGGTGCGGTACAGAAATGCTTATGTAGTAGAAATGGGATTATGATGATAAGAATAATAACAATAATAATAATAATAATGATGATTATGTTATTGTGTGTTAGTGTTAGTAGTAGGACTATTACTATTAGTTGTCGTAGTAGTAGAGGTTGTAGTAGTATTGGTCGGTGATGGACTCCTCCTTGCTGTTGCTGATGGTACCACCCATTTCCTTTCTAATGATATCTTTAAATTACGAGCATTAACCAATATTTTATCAAACTTCTGATATACTAATTCTAGTTGTTTGGCCTGAAATATCATAACAACACCAATTATATCATATATTAATTGGATGCCTGCTGCTCTTTATTATTACCAATTCATCTGGTGATGGATTCTCCCTGAATTTGATAGTCTTTATTAATGCTTGTGAGAACTCATTTCCCATCACATGAATAGCATCCATCTCTATATTACTATCACCCAATGATACTAGATTAGTTATCACTTGTGAATTTAATGCTTGTCGAACCGATAAAAATGCTGATATCTGCTAGAATATCTCAAACAAGAATAGTAACTACTACTACCACCACCACCACCACTACTACTACTACTACTACCACTACTACTACTACTACCACCACTACTATTACTACTACTACTACTACTACTACTACTACCACCACCACCGCTACTACTACTACTACTACTACTACTACTACTACTACTACCACTACTACTACTACTACCACCACTACTATTACTACTACTACTACTACTACTACTACTACTACTACTACTACTACTACTACTACTACTACTACTACTACTACTACTATTACTACTACTATTACTACTACCACTACTACTACAACTACTACTACTACCACCACTACTACTACTACTACTACTACTACTACTACTACCACCACTACTACTACTACTACCACTACCACCACTACTACCTTCCATTGATGATAGTCACCTGGGTATTGCCTTTCATGCTCAGTACGAGCTGATATAATCCTTACTCTGACGATAATAACGATATGAATATAATCGTTATTTCCTTATTACTTTTTAAGTGTTGGTAATAGTTGTGGTACATATTTACGAGCACTATATTCTACCCATCCCTTCATAGCATTTGTAATAATAAATGTCTCACCATGTGCCATAGCCATCTCTAGTAACTTAGCCTGTACGAAGGAATAATAATAATATCACATAATCTACTACTAATACTACTACATCAGTAGCTGATATATTGGATAAATGTTTCTGCAGGGTTTTAGAAGTATCTTGCTGCTGCTTTTTGTTATTATTATCATCTTGTTGTTGTTGACCAACACGTAAATTGAGATAGGATGTACATAATAATGTATCATCCCAATCAAATATTATAACTACATTATTAATAATAATACTATTAGTGTAATTATTATTATTACTACCTGTCTGATGTTGTGGAGGTTTCTGAGATTGTGGTACCCATACACCAGTATATGATAGTTTCTTCAAATACTAACAATAAGGATGGTACTACTAATAATAATTATAGGAGGTAATACTATTACTTGCATTCTAAAGTCATCAGCTGAATGCTGCGGACTATTACCAAAATGTAATGTAAATTCCGTCTTAGTAGTAGGTCTTGTTGATGTTGATGATGGTTGTTGTTGTTGTTGTTGTTGTTGATATGATGATCCTGATCTTGATGATAAACTCCCTCCCCTTCCACCACTCTGTTTCTTCTCCTCTTCTACTTGTTCTTGTTGTTGTTGTATATATGTTGCCTGTTGGTTACCAGGTGCCTCTCTACTAGTCTTACTACGAGTAGATCTACTGTTACTGCTATTACCACCACCACCGATAAGCCCTAGTTTATGCAGATAATTCTTCCGCATCGCTAAGCCACCATATTCATAGAACTCCAAAGTAGAGTTATTAAGTAAGTCTTTGGTAGTCGTCGTATCAGAAGAGGAATGATGATGATGCTGCTGCTGCTGCATCCTCTTCATCATAATCTTCTCCTCTTCCTCGCGCTGCTGCCCCTCATGATCATATTCATCAATTGAGCACGACGACGACGACGACGACGACGAACCTTTTTCTTGTTGTTGAGAACAGGGAGGAGGAGGAGGATGAAGAGACTGCATACGGGAATCTAAGGCGGCTGCTGCTGCTGTTGTTGATGATGATGATGATGCCGTCCGGTTGTTGTTGTTGTTAAGATCATCCATATGATGATTATTAAAGAGTTGGAATGCGGACTGCAAGAGCAGGAAGATTGATGACCTCTTCTATTGATGATGCCTAGGTTTATGTCAAGTAGAGAACATCGAATGGCGGCCTTTTCAAGCCCTACAAATTGATGTTAAGTCAGCAGTGAACAACACTCAACATTGATAATAAACATTCATGTTTGAATACACACTTACAAAGTGAACAACATTCAACATTGATAATAAACATTCATGTTTGAATACACACTTACAAAGTGAACAACATTCAACATTGATAATAAACATTCATGTTTGAATACACACTTACAAAGTGAACAACATTCAACATTGATAATACACATTCATGTTTGAATACACACTTGCAAAGTGAACAACATTCAACATTGATAATACACATTCATGTTTGAATACACACTTACAAAGTGAACAACATTCAACATTGATAATACACATTCATGTTTGAATACACACTTGCAAAGTGAACAACATTCAACATTGATAATACACATTCATGTTTGAATACACACTTGCAAAGTGAACAACATTCAACCGTAAGCGCTTCTTTGGACACATCAACTTTCAGTTGACAAGGTGTCCATTACTCAAGGCTGGCCCTGAATCCAGCACTAAATACCTTACAGTGGCACTATGTACATGCAACTGCATGAAATGTACAGGATTTCTTGCAATTGCATGAGTAGTCAGACCGCAGAGGGAGCTCTACGGCCGATTAGGATGATCCACTGACTTCATATATGCGTGTGTGCTGCTCCATAGGGACGTGTGAGCACTTTAGTATGGTTTTG